AATTACTTAACTTCGTAATCTGGAGTAATTTTCTATTGCGTACGGTTCAATATTTCTCAACATTACCGTGATGCGTAAAACGAATGACAATAAATGGTATCTTTTCGGCGTATTATTATCGGGTTCTTATCGAAATGTAAGCAGGCATACCTTCCGTTCCGATAAAGATGCATCTGCAACATATACTGATGCACTCGAAATAGGTATTATAAAATTTTAATGACATACCTCGTGTATGCACGACAAAATACAGGTTGCACATACTTAATACGTCGAAAAAATTTTACGGAATAATGTATAAAGGGGAACAAATAGTAGATTGTTAATTTCAAGTTTGATATAAAGAGCAATGAGAGAAAGTAATCACATTTTGTTTGAAAATAAAATTGCTACGACTCCATTTTTTGAAACGCATGTAAAATCATCTATTCACTGCTTCATTTCCCATTTTGTAAAATATGGTGAAGTATTACTTCTATTTTTTTTAAATAAATTGTCACGAAAAACAATGTATACATGTAGAAATAAATAACTTTGTATTGTAAACAAAATAAACAAAAATAATAGTATATTGTACAACTGGTGGGAAAAGTGGTCGATTCTGAATGAGTGTGAAGTTGGTCGCACGAGCAGTTGTTCATACTATTTTTCCTAACAAAAGCGTGAAACAGCTCGCTTTTCGCGCTTGTTTTACAATTTCATTTCTCCACTAGTTGAGAAATGGCTACATTTTTCAACTAGTGAAGCGCGCCGTTCACAAAAAGTATCAAGTTCAAGACCGTACGTCAACCATTCCGATTTAATTTTGTATATTCTATATATAAAACTTATAATTCTGTTTTGTTTTGGTATAATTTTGTTATATTCTATAATATATTCTGTTCTTTCTAATTAAGAATTACGCGTGCAATATACGTGGCAATCCGTGAACTCGATTTAACCATGCGCACGCAGTTCCGCGTTTTTAATTTCTATTTGTTTGATAAATTACATCTAAACGGATAAAAAGTTTAATAGGCGGTATAAGATTTATTCTAGTCAAATTAACATTTGCGCATAAATTGCGTAAATAAATAATTTATTATTCTCAATATTCGTATTTATTAAAAAGAAATCGCGCAAAAAATTGCTTTACTAAGGTTGCGATCCGATTCACGCTCACAGCGTTGTAAGCAGCATTCTTCGTTGCACATCGAATATCAAACGAGATAAAGCGATGCTTTCAGCGCCGTGAGCGTGAATCGGATCACAGCCCAAATCATCGTCGGTATCACCGAAACAGTTATCATCGGAAATATCCGTGACTACAAGTAGTTTAAGGTGCACATTTTGTGAGGCGCCACTGGACGGTTCTAGCTGAGACGAAAATACATTCACGCCGTTTAAAACTTAGCAGCGAGCATTATTTGCACATTGTTTCCATGATTTTATTGGCTAATTCAAGTGTCAATATAAATTGGCGAAAAATAACGTAAAAATTTACATAACATATATGGGACATGCTAAATCAAATTGTTTTATCTACAAACAGAAGAAATTCTACATTGTCTAACTTGTATAGATATATAAAAAAATATTTTATTCTCTTATCCGTAATATTATTCAATATTATGCAATTTAATATAGACTCTGACATTTTGTTCACTGATCAATGAGATAAAATGAGTAAAATGAGAAAAAGTTCTTTTAAATGTATTTATTAATCAACGTGCTTAAAGTAAAGAAGTTCGAAATAACTGTAAAAAAAGAATTAAAGAAAACAGAAATTTATCGAAGATTTTGAAGAATCTATTATATGGATTACATAAAAGATGCCAAAATAATGTAGTTTTAGCGACTTCTCAATAAGTAATGTAGGGTAACTGCAATGGGGGAATATGCCACACTCAATAAAAAATTGATTTTTTTCCTACTTTTCTTTCTCTTTGAAGACTTGCAGGTTTCCTTTTTCCTCCTTTTATCTATTATTTATATATGATTTTAATAAAATATTTAATAAAATAATTATTTACTATTAAAAAGAAAGAAATACAAAAGTGTTGCAAAGTGTTACATATTACCCAACCATATAGGTATATAATATACCACATAATATAAAGTAATACATGGTTTAGTGTTTTGGTACTAATATTTATCCATATTTAAATTGTTAGATTACTTGTGTGTTTTCTTCCTCAATTTTAAACAATAATCATTATTTGACAAATTAATTATTATTGCAGAATTATGTATCGAAGGCATATATACACTATTTTGGAAATAAAGCAAATGCAAAAAACGCACGTAATGAAATAGAAAAATGATAAACATGTTTTCGTAATATCACAAGATATCATTCATGAATAGCAAAACGAGTATATTATAGTAGATAATAAAACCAAGCTATGAAAAAAAATCGACAATGGTGACAACGTCTGGTGAACAACTGGTAGAGATAACGTGACATACTTAATAATGAGAATCATACAGTTTTGTAACGTTTGCGCAAGGTGTGTCATTTGACACGAGCGCGGACATAGAATAACGTAGAAGCTATAAGCACTTCAATCGGAGCAGATCTATAAAAGGTGATAGAGAAAATGCCGCGCATCAGACCGTCGGGCCACCCACCTAAAGTCTGGCAATTAATTGAAATAATGGATAAAGATAAAAAGTCGTCGATCAAGTTCACAATTCAGGAAATTCCCGAGGACCGATACGAGGATGCGATTCAATATATGTGCACACACTTCTTAGCCGATGAACCGATCTGCCAATGTTTAAGTAAGTTTTTATCACATTTCCGATTATTTGATAGCTTTTTAATGACAAACATCTTTTTAACGACAATCTCATTCATCGTTCGCGGATTTAAGATAAAGGAAAAAGTAAAAGAAGATCTCGGAAAGATTATATTAGTCTTTTTAGAATAATCTTTATCCGACAACAAAAAAAAAACGATTGTCTTTAATTTATCATGATTTATCATGATCCGCATTGCGATTACTTTGTATTACTTTTTGGTCCATTTCATTTGCAGATGCGAAAAACGATCCTTTATTTGTACAAGACATAAGCGCGTTATGGCGCTTATCACTCGCACAAGGCATATCCATAGCCGCATTCATCGACAATCCCGATGGTGGGAAACCTATAATCGTCGCTATAAATGTTCTGGGTGTTGAAGTTAACAGTCAAAGAGGTAGCATTTCCCATTACCAGGTGAGATTAAGCTTCGTCAATAAACTTGATTGTTCTGTTCAAATTACCACTTTACTCTATCATACAACCAAGCACAAACATCAAAAGTAACATATACACCTTACAATGTGTTATATTGCATTTACGTTGTTGAGTAAGAAATTAGCAAGTAAAGTGCGTGTTACTTGGTGTTTGCTGAGAAGCAAATTTTATTACAGTGCTTATAAAATTATAATATTATATATAGTAACATAATTACAAGTTTTCTTGCTGTCCGAAAGTATATAGAGCATTCCTATGAAACCTTTCGTAAATGCGAAGTGGCGTAAAGCAAAAGCAGAGAATACTTGCGTGCAGTATCTATATAGCAGTATAATCATTTTTTGTTTTTTATTTTATTATACATTATTAAGTACTGTATTGTAACGGTATATATATATATATATATGATTACGTAACTAATTGTAAGAACTTCTAATTGACACTCGTTACAGTTTAAGTCAGAGAAATGCAAAAAGACGTTGGAAATCATATCTAATACAAAGAAGAAGGTGCTGTACAAACGTTTTGGATTTGACAAGTATCTATATGCTAATGGGCTTAGCACACATCCCGATTATCGAGGATACGGATTAGGCAAGAATATGCTGAAAATCAGGTATGACTTATGTTAGAACATTATCTCGCTCATGATAAATATGCAATAAGTTATCGATACTTTATGATTTCATAATTTAAAGTTCTTAAAGAAGGCTACATAAATCTTTTCAAAGTAGGTTTTCTGAAGAGTTTTATATCTAAATAATGCAAATTATTCATTCCTTATTCAGTTTTATAATTTTTCATTGTAATTATATATTGATAAAGTACTATAAAGTTTAATATTATAAAATATGGAATTTATATTTATCATATCGACAAGTTGGCATCATTGATACGCAAATTAATTTCTAATTTCTTATACTCAATTTCTATCAATTCATCCTGTCGTGTTAATCAATTTTACATTTATCAGTATCTCGTGTAACTTATTGTTAGTAAATCTCACCCTATAATAGAGAGCTTATTGGACCTATGTACGGCATCCCGACGACAGTCTCGGTGTTCACATCGATATTTTCGCAACAATCAGCAGCAAAAGCGGGATACGAAGAATATCTGACAAAAAACTTCTCCGACTTAGTGGACAAAGATGAAGAGGGGTATTTTTCCGGTACTGATGTCACATTGAAAATCATGGGTAAAAGATTGCTTTAATATGATCCGATGGTCGAGGCGACACGCAAGAATTACACAGTATATATATATTTAGAAAATTACGTGATTCACTTAATTTGTACCGTGGAGTAAGTCTTACAATTTCTACTGCGTACTGCTCAATATTCCTGATACGCATCGTGACGCATTGGAACGAATGACAATAAAGGGCGCCTTTTCGCCGCGTCGAGCACATCATTATCGACTTCTTGTCGAAACAGGGCAGGCGTAACTTCCGTTCCGATAAGTGCATTCGCTACATTCGGATGCACTTGGAATATATAGATGTTGCAATACAAAATTTTAATGACACACCTTCCGTGCATACGCGGCGAAATGCGGGTTGCACATTACGCGCCGGAACATGCACCGTAATACCATGCCGTTCGCGTGGCCAGAATTTAAGATTACGGTCTTCATTTACGATGTACCAAAAAAAAAAGAAATCTAGATTAAAAACCTTGCGAAATAATATATATTAATCCCCTGCGAGATAATAAATGCTAGATTATTATAATCTTCCTAAGTTTGATGCGAAGAGCAGTGGAAGAAAATGATTACATTTTATCTGAAAAATAAAGCTGCTGTAACTACACTTTTTAACGACTCAGCAGCCTTATAGTCTATTTTTTAAATATTACATCACAAATAATAGAAATATTACCTTCTTATCGATATACATTTTTTTTAGCTCAGCAAATTGCGCGTCGAATAATCGGTCTTGAAACAGTCTCAAGCTAAAGCCAAAATAGTACACGTAATTAAATTAATAATTAATTTAATAATCATGATATATGCTAAATAAGCATCTTTTAGAAACAAAATGTAAAAAATTTATTGCTAAAATAAATTGCGAAGAAATGTATACGCAAAAATATTATTAATAGGCACAAAGATCCAGCCCGATCGTAGAAGGTATATTTCTATTATTTGTGTTATTTTCATAAACAGCCAAATTTTATTATTGTTATTATATATATATCTATACTTTTTAGTAATGTAAAATAAAATGTATACAGAAAATGCATGTGCAGAAATAAGTGCCTTTGTATCATAAGCGATGGCAAAAAAATATCATTTCATCGCATCGCGCCTAACAAACTGCCACAGAATTATATGGAATTTGAGACAAATGCTACTTACTTCATCAAAAAAATGGAATAATTGTGAAATGGAATAATATACTTAATTAAAAACTACATCGATGTTTACTCGATGGGGATTACGAGAATTTTGTTCAAATTTAGTGACGTATCTATAGTTGCATGAGAACTTAATGCCAATAAATAAAGCAAGTTAAACTTAAATAGCAAGTTTGTTGTACACCTTTGACCTAATATTAAAACGAAGAATCCATTGACATTTCAAATTGTTAAATAAGTGTAATGATAGAGCATTAATTATAATTTTGTTATCTCGCGTTAATTAAAACCCCATAAAGGTCAAGTAAAAATTATTTCATTTTCTATGCTAGGCAATAATTGATGCAAATCAAGAAGCAATGTGAAATATATCAAATCGGTGAAATTAATTGTATTTAAATTGCAAAATTTTCCTATTTGTCAATAATAAGTAATAAAAAGATCAATACATATTATGTGAAGCACAATTATATAATATTAAACTGAAACAAAAGAAAGTGAAAAGAAGCGAGAAAAAATAATGAGTACCGGAAATTCTGTATATAATAATGGACTTTCTATAATTTCTACAGACAGTCTGCAACACTTTTTAGTAAGTCAAATATTTGTTTATTGGAGCTGTTCAATTGAAATATTTATATAGCAAACACTGACGAACTTGCGTGTAATTGTATCGGCATATTTGCCGTTTCTGAATAAATATATACTTGTTACGCCAACAAGTGGTCGGATTTTATTGAGCTTATCGTTATCTCTCTCAATTCCGATTAGTTTGCTTTAATTCCAGTCAATTTCGATCAGTTGCAATTAATTTCAATGATTTTAACTCTCACCCGTTATCGCGAAATCTTGTTTAGCGTTAATTAACTTCACGGATTATCGAGGATTATTCTTGTAACCTATTCAAGCCCAATGTCCCGGAAACAACCAACTGTTCATACGCATGATCGTTTATACGTCTCGTTATTGCAATTTGAATAAGTGTAATGCAAATGTGATACGTTTCTAATCATTTCGATTATTGTTCAAAATAATGAATATATAATAATTTACATAGCTATTTGCTCCAAAGAAAATTTTATTTAAAAATATGTAAAAAACGCTATACACATATATATATTTATATATATAATATACGCATAGTATATTCTTGTATTATAGTCGATTTCTTCTTATTATCAATATCGTTAAAGCGATTAGAATATAATGTTAGGGTCTGAAAAATATAGGATCTGAGACAATGTTAAATTTATTGACAGAATTTATCAAGATACTGGGCTAATTATAGATCTTACAATATTTTCTTACAATACTTTTAAAATCAGAGATTAAATATCATGCTTTTATATACTTTATTTAATACAAAATTAGAATGACTTTTTATTCTAACGCTGGTTTACCATTGTATTGCATTGCTTTTAAATAATTAAATTTGCTTGAATGGAAATAATTTTATTGGAAAATTGTACATTAATTTTGTATATAAATTTTTCCCCTCTCTCCCATCTCTCTCTCTCTTTTTTTCTCTCTCTCTCTCTCTCTCTTTCTTTCTCATTTCTCTCTCTCTCATTTCTCATTTTCTCTTAATCAGCAAGCCTCGTAATCGTTAAAAGCTAACGTCATGTCGTATTATTAATACCTTACGGAGGTGTATATTGTTTTATTGTCCGGGGGTAAATTTGCGAGTCTCTCGACACGTGCGCGAGCGTGGGCGCGTGCGAACACGACGCCGCGTCCGCGTCGGACCGGTGATTCCTTCTCTCGGGCCGGCGCTTGGTTGGACGCGCCTTCAGTTCAGTCGCGTTCCGCGCGTCGTACGAGCGAGTGTGTCTTTACTCGCATTCTTTCCGTTGGTCCATTTCTACCCTTTTACCTATCCGTTTGTCCGAATACGATACGTGACGAAATGCAAGTTTGAGACCAAAAAGACTGAAGAACAAAATAAACGTATGAAACACGAGCTGCGTAATCGTCAGTAGAATGCCCCTCGGAACAGCGTTAAAAACTGATTTTCAGAAAGAAACTACATCGATGCTCGGATCCGTCGATCGAGATCGCTCGAGAGAGCGATTTGATATCGCCGGTCGTTCGTTTCGTGTACATGTGCTGCGAAATAGATCGAGATCGACAGACAGTGTTTTTTGCGTTTAGCGGAGAGAAACGGGTTTTTTCCTCAGGTATGATCCACATCTCTCCCACGGACATTTATCGCGATGGATAAATTTTCCCGTGATTCGCACTGAGGCGAATCTATCTAATGCCGGTCGATTTTTCGTGAGCATCTTCGCTAAGATAAATTTGGAGAAAACAATGTAACTTGTGACGGAATGATATTGAGATACTGTTAATGCCCGTGAGATCATTCTTCACCAGTGTTTCGCGTAGGGATTCTTTTCTCCCTCATGAGGGTGAATGCCTCGCTTTTCGATCGTAACGCTACTTTCCGGGCGATTAGGATCAGTGCGGTAATGGAAGTAAAGTTAATGTATTACGATAAAAGTAAGACTAATACTATCGTCAACAGGTATTTTATTCTCATTAGGTATAATTTTTCACACTGTAAATATATATATATTTTTAAAAATAAAAAGAAATACATATATCTTTTTTATATATCGACTAGAATGCCAGATTTGAAGAACAAGTTAATTTTATTACAATAAACTGATAATTAATTAGTAATTAGTTAATCTATTCATTGATAATTGAAATCTGGAAATATATTAATACAATACTATGAATTAAAAAGCTAATTACATTAAACCTCTAATATCTTTGTTCAATTATCCAATATTACTTTGTCCGTAAAAAAATTAATTTTGCAATAATTGGTTTTAACTTTTAACTTCTAATCAATTAAATAAAATAATTAATACCTTCTTGTATTACTTTTATTTAAGAGAAATTTTAGGACATTAGTTATTTTTCTCGTCAATTTTGCGTACATAATCTAGTTATTTTACCAATTACAATTCATATTACAAATTCATAGAGACGTGCAATTCATCCTCTCAGATTCTCTTTTGTTTGCAATCTGAATTTATCATTGATTTTAAAGTGTCGATGATAGATTTTGAAATCGGTCGTAAATTCAGATTGAAAACAAAAGAGGAATAACAAATCCATAGAGAGCAATTTAATTTTAAAGTCTGCATGGTGTCCAAGTTTGCTTTACAAGTGTATATTTTTTTAGAACAAAAGAGGTGAGTGACGGTACTCCTCTTTTGTCTTTATTCTTGTCTCAATGCAATAAATTTACGATTTGAAATAACTATAGACTAAAAATACGCATGTACATATATGTTTCTCTTAATTTTTACATCACGAGGAAAATATTTTTATTTATCAAATGTGTATCTCTTTTACATTAGAGATTTCACATTACCAAAGACATCGAAAATCGAGGTTCAAAATTAAAAGAAAGCGATATTAATTCTTGATTGACATGCAACAGTGTTACAGAACGCCGTCTCTGTTCCATTTTTTTACGTTTTTGTTTGTCTTTTAATCTGAAACCAGTATCCCCATTTACTTTCTACGTAATAATACTTTAAGTAATTTTCTTTTGCAAATAATCGCAAGTCATGTCAATTAAAGGAAAGAAGTGCGGCACGTTAAGGAATTAAAAAGGAAGAGGAGAAAAATTATGAAAAACGCAGTCATCCTTCGCTTTGAACTTCCAATAATAATCTCTTCGTAAATCGCTTCAATTAACGACTGCATTATGTTATTGGTCCTTTGCCATCGATGTCGTGCGTCCCTTTGAACATATAGATCGTGATGTGTATATCGTGAGTTATGCGATTGCGTCGCTACACGGGAGATCAAAGAGAAACCATCCATCGTCAATATTATCTTTTTAGAATCAACAGCTCGTAATACCTTGTAACATCCTTTACTTGCGGCGATTAGAAAAAGCCCGGACACTTCGGATTCGCGCGGTGAGTTACTCCTTCGATATATCCGGTATCTCAAAAGAGCTTCAGAGAGCAAGTCTTCGAGTACATCGATAGGTTACTTAACTAAAAGTGTAATATGATCAAGACTATTTTCTGCTGTAATTACCGCGCTAATAATAGTAACAGAAAGTAGAACATACACTTCCCTATTTTAATAGAATATATACTTTCCTACTTAAAAATAATAAAGAATAAAATATATATACACTTTCTACATATCACCCGACATTCTCTATTTCTTGGAATTTCCTGAAAGGAATAAAATTATAGATATACTTGAATATTAATTTTTGACTCTTGTATGTAACAGACGATTTTTTAAAATAAATCTTTTTTGAGATAACTGAGTTTGAAAAATGCGAAATTAAGAAGAAATGTGTAGCAACATTTTCGTGAAAAATTTCTTTTCTTTTTACAGAATCTGGAGCAAGCGTATTAAAATCGACGACATGTATTAGATTCACATTAAAAACAAAAAAGAACAACCTGAGATTTAGTTAATTAAATTTTTTCTTAAAGACAATTGAATTGTAAAATAAGCTCTAAAAAGATAATAAAATAACTGGATGTCTTAAAATTTTATTTGGGTAAAAATAATGCAAGTATATATAGTATTACACAGATATTAATTATTATATATAAATTTAATTACAGCAAATAAATAGTGTAAAAAATAACACAATTACATAAAATAATTTCAGAAGTTATATAATCGTATACAAGAGAGTTTACAATTTAATAATTTTTAGTACCGTTTTTATTCTGAGATACGTAAAAATTAATCATAGCTTTATTAATCCTAGCTTTACTTTCCATATTTTCGTTGTTTTAAAATATCTATTTTGAAATCAAAACATATATATTCAAAAATTTATTTTATTTTTTAAAGGTAGTACTGTTGATGACACATAAAATATTTTTATGTAACACACTCGTGTGAAAACGGAGATAAATCGCGAACAACTAGATGCGTTAGTAAATTCGGCTAAAGATAAAGCGACTGTTTCAATGAACCCTGCGAAAAATATTGCCCGTATTCTGCCGGAGAGAACAGTACAACCGGTCCTAAAAATTCACGTCAGCATCAGAAGCGTTTGCGCATCACGGCATTCCAGCAGCGTTGCATGTCCATTCTTTTTCCAACAATAATGTCACAAGACGCAATTTTGTTGAAAAATAAGTCACTAGAAATATTTTCTTCGCCTTTCTTTCTTGCAAAACAGAGTAGCATGAATACCTGTGCAGTAAAATGTCGAGACAGAAAATTTTCCCTGGGAAGATCTCCCAATCTCACAATGTTAAACGAATAATTGTGTTTCACGTGAATCGTTGATTCGTGTAGCTACTTAGAACATGCATATATGCTCGAGTATCAAGCTTTGCTTGGTGGATGTTAATCCTATTTTGTTGGAATGTATCAATAAAATTCGTCACTTGTTAATTATGTTTTAAGGGCTCATGGATTTCTTTTATGATATTAGGTTTAATATTATAAGATTTGATATTAAATGCAATTTATAGAAAAGATACTTATAAATTTGGTTTACGTGTAATTAACACATACATACATACATACATACAGATTTTATACAAATATATGTATTAACATAATTATTTAACATATTAACATAGTTAATTTATTGCTATAAATTACATAGAGCTTTTTTCTATTATATTGCAGCTCTAATGTCAAATTATCAAATATATAAATCTCTTGCAGAAAAATAAACTTTATTATCATGATTTTTTATAGGACTTAGTATTTTAACTTTAAGATACTCCAGCTGTGTTAAATCTGTATAGAAATACAGTGTATCAAAGTTACTTAGTATCAAATTGACGTGTTATACATATATGTACATGCTGCTCGTATTTAACTTTGATATTAGATACAATGTAAGTAAGCGAAATTATGTTTGATGAAACGTAGTAGGCTTAACGTGTTGAACATGAAACGATTAAAACTAATCTTTCGCTGAACACACCGTTATAGCACATGAAAGATAGAAATTGCAATCGGTATATAGTTTCCTGGGAGTTTAGACCTCGACAAACATCTAAAATTGATCTCTATATTTATGTTTGTAACAACTCAACGTGATGATATATCTAGTCTAAAATATAAGTCGCTTTTACCGAGACTCTATCTTCCTACTGTTTAGTTATACCTCGTGATGATATAGATATTGATTGTAATATTAATAGCACATACAATAGCTTTTTATATAACTTTACAAGTGCGTATTCTTAAATCCTATTTTTTTCTTTCAAATCTGTTTTATTTATTATTATTTATATTTCACAAGACATATGTTACGTTTCAAGTATATATCCACACTATTTTTGTATTAATTACAAATAAATCGCAACGAACGATATATTTATTAGTTTTTATTAGATCTACTTTTTATCGTTGCTAAAAGTACAACGTCATCGAAAACAAATTATGTACATTCTCAATTATATTATCCTCGCCCTATAAATACGACATTTATCAATATCGCACAAGGGTTAAAAGAAACACAATAATGAGTGAAATTTTTACCAAATACAATAAAAAATTTCTCAGTTAGATTTCCGATGATATTCATTCCGTCAGTCTACGAGTTTTACGTTACGATCCATACGAGCATCGACAAAAATTCATGCAGTTGTTTCGTTTTTTAATTAATACATTCTCTAATTAATTAGTAATAATCATCGTATGTTTCCGATTGCATCGAATGTTCTTGTAAATTAACAACATGCGTCCAAATTATTAACGAACGTCCGCACGTGCTAACATAAATAATAATAATTCTATTTTTCGTGATGTAAAAACAATCGCGCGCCAAACTTTCATCCTAGGGATAATACAAGGGGAAGAGGAGGAACAATCTGATACAGGCCGCGTTCAAGAAATTATTTTTGGTCCCGGGAGAGTAGTAATCCTTTGCTCGTTACGCGCTTCACTACCCCTCCTCGGTTAGTGAAGCGCGTAACGGGCAAACTCCTGTCTCATTCGTGTCGGGAAACGCGAACGGTTTTCGATTTACATTTCAGAACTTCTCAAAAGTTGCTTCGTCGGCGTGATTGCTATTATATGTCGATGCGCTCGACAAAGGTATGACAAATATCCGCGGAGCACGTTCATATTGGAATTAATTATCAACTTGGGGACAACAGTTTGTTTATAACAACGCTCGATTGTTTACGCGAAACGTAATTGAACGCCAAAAATTAATCGACTCGTTTTGAGCAAGCGGAGACATTGAGAAAGTAGAGAGATTCGTTACAAAATCGATACAAAATAAAAGAAGTAGCTAATATTAACGTCTCCTGCGCGTAATCTGCTCTGCTTGATAAAGCCATTTTGTCATGCTTCATATTTAAAAGCCGGAATGAATTTTGCCCTGCATGCAAAAACGCCTTTATAATGATTTTAACATTTTAATTAACAATGTTCGTTATCCAATTAGTTGTCCATATTTTGCTTGAGACATAAAAGATTCATATAAAATGGAATAAAAGAATTCTATAATTATTTGAATTAATTTGGAATTAAAATCTAAGTCTTCTAATTTTGTTAACTTAATAAATGTACATTTATATTTTAAAAAATTGTAAAATTTTAATATATAATTTATAAAGTTACAATTCAAAGATAAAAATTTCAAAGCATGTAGCAGATGTCTTTTAAGGAGCATGTCTTTCAAGATTTACCTAAAAAAGACTCCATTTTCAATCTCTTTCCGATCTAAAGTATTGTAAAAATGCGAGTAGCTCTAATCTCTCTTCGGTTTTCTTTCTTTTTATTATGGTACCGAGCGACGTAAACGTACGCGTTAATGTGCCCCGGAAATACACGAAATGTATCACATGGCGCGCCAAGATTTAGTGCCAGCGGATAATCAAAGCAAACGAGCAGTCACCTAGAAACAAATGTTCCCTCGAGATCTGTTTCGAAAATATATAAAATAGAAACGTCGCGAGGAAAATTTCTAATTAATTAATAGCCAACCGCACGTGTCTACCAGTTTCTCGTATTCGAAATGAAATGACACGCTAGTCGGCCGAACCACTAAATTAAATAGCACCGCGGAAAACGTATCTTCTACGTCCCGGACTATAATACACCGCAATTTTCAAACATCACTTAATTTACTCATATAATGGCAGTTGTTTATATGCAAATTTATATGTAAATTTAAATTTAGTGTTAATTTATATGAAAATTTCAAGAAGCTTTTTATAACACATAGCATTGATATTATTAACAATAAATTTATATTGTGTTTTTTTTTCCCAAAAATTTCTTGCATCTAAACAATTTATTTCTTGTATTACAACAAAATGTTAAAAAATGTACAATTTGATATACAAAAATGGAAACAAACGCGGTTATTCAATTTATTGAATTGAATTGAATATTCAACATGTATCACAATTTAATAATTACTTAATGGCGGAGTAAAATTCTGTTTATATATCTCCTTAAAAGGCAATTCAATGCACATTATTATTAAATTATTATTATTAAAATTATTATTAAATTTACATTGTGCGCTTTCCGCAAAGCACATTATAGTGTTATAAAAGCAATTATTTATAGGATAAAGTTCATTCTAATAACGTTTACAGAAATGACAAGAACATTTAAATTGTTACGTCAAACAGCGAAGCAGAGAATTGTTTGTATTACTACACAAACGACCGTCCTGCGGCCAATTTAATCAGCTTGCTCATGGTAAAAGACAAAATTACCGGAAGAAATTTATGTTCCGTCTGTCAAAGCGATGCTTGGCGACACAAAAGACTTTGCTTAATATCCGTTAGCACAATGGCTGTTTGTCCAACTGTCAACTCGTGTTGCTACTAATATGCGCGCGGTAATTCATCGCGACATCATAGGAGATGTATCATTGGGCGGGGTTGGCATATTCGCCAACTTCTAGAGAGCCGGATCAAAACAAGCCGCAACGTTCGTTCGTTCGTGAACGAGCGAGAAATTGACCACGCGTTTCTCGATGGCGTACAAACGAGCGACATCGGATTTCCCGTCAAGTCATCCCGTCCTATACGAAAACGGAACGAAAAGCAAAAATCGGAGTTGTAATTCTTCCGCGCGGCGAATTTCTTGAGCGGAAAATATCGTAGCGCACAGCTCTTGGCGCACAACGAGGCGATCCGAGCGTAAATTTTCGCGGTATCGATTTCCTTGTCTATTTTTCTTGGCCGCTATTTCCGCGATACGATCAGCGCGATTAGGAACTAGGCTGATCGTTAAATACGGTCTTGTTTTTACTTAGAAGCTACATAGACGAAAAGACATTTAATGCAATACAATATATGTATACGATGTCCTGAAATTGTGTTAACTTTTATTGCATTATTATAAGTTGCGCTAACATATTTGAATTTCATAAGTATTTATATAAGTATCAACATTTTTATCGCAGTGTTTTTAATTTGTACATTGCTTTCGAAAAAAATATATGAAAATAGTTTGACTTTTTAATAATTAATTAGATATTTATAACAATTATTATTTAAATGGTAAAAATAATTATTACCAAATTGCAAATTTTCTAAGAATAAATTATTCAATTTCCTTAAAAATGTAATATATATTGCGTATGATTTCTATAATTAAAATATCTGGTTGATATTTTTCCACTCTGGTTGATTTTCTTCCACTCGGCTTTTTTTCGTACAATGATATATGTATTCATTATTTATAATTTATCTCTCGATAATCGATTTTACTTGTAATGTTTTAATTGCTGCTTTTATTATTATTTTAAAAACAAGGTTATACATAATCTGCAGTAAACATTTATTTTTTTTTGCAACTTCAACTGTGAATATTCAAAGTTATACTATCTCTTGACACATGGACTTAACACATTTACGTCATTCACATATGAATGACACTCAATTTCATGTAAAACTTTCTAGAAGCCAAACGCATTTACTTTCACAATTTACTTTTTTCTGCAATAAAATATTGAATAACAAGTCTTCTTACGAAAATTTGGTGTCATTTATATATGAACGACGTGCGATATAAATTAATGTGTTAAAATGTATTATCCTTAAAAAATAAACTTTAATTAGACAAATATATACAAGATAGTTAAGTAAAATGTCAAACATCAAACATTATTAATGTTTGATGTAAAGTTAAAGTTGAAGCTGTTAATTACTATTTACAATTAAAAACGACCTACGATATTATTCGAATTCTTTTTCGTCTAAATGGACGGAATTTATTTATTATCTAATGCAATTTCTTTATATCAGGTAAATAAAGTTTGGATTCCCTTGGACGGCCATTGGATGCATCTTTCATGCAGAAAGAAATGAACTATCCTCTTTTAGAACTTAAGAACTCGGCCCACCAGTGAACGCAATCAAATAATGTTAAATTTCGTGCAGCGATGGTATCCGCGCGGGAACACACGCGTCTTTCCTCCCGCTTCGAACATGCTCGAACTGAATCGTTCAATTGTTCCTTCAAATATTCCTAGCGCATCGAGTGAGTCGCGGGAGATCAGAAACGGGACGTTGCGGATTTCTCTGTACTCTTTTAAGTGCTTCGTGTCCCAGGATAACTAACGGAAGACACAAGTTCAAGTCATTGCGAGAGTGTCTCAAACACGAGGCCGGCCAGCATTTAGCCGACGACACGATGACCCTTTCACGGCAAACACGCGGAGCAAAAACCTGAGCGGCAGATCGTGTGGATATTGTCGATCGGAACGACCATGTCCGGGGACGCGAACCAAGCGCGGACCGACGATTGGAATCTGACGGCCGGTTTCGATCTGGTGAGCGCCGGAGAATTGGGGAACGTCACCGACGAGCTCTATCCCTTGCCGGATTACATCAACGTCACATCGCTGCCGGACGTCAATACAACGGAGGAGATTGACTCGTTTTACTTCTACGAGGTGAGTAGAGCTTCCAAAACTTTTTCGGTTTTATTTTTTGCGTTCTGCCTGGCGAATGCGCGGAAAATGGAGATACTGACAATAGAGATTGCGCGTATAGTGATTCCTTTTATATGATTTTATAATTCGTCGTGCGAAAGATTTGTGACAAGCACGTGTGGATAAATATTTGTTATCAAATTTTTAAATATTTACGTATAAAATATATATTGCTCTTCAAAACTTTGACGTATAAATTACTCCAATAAAATAATTATGAATATTTGAATCTATATTAAATTTCTTTGCTTCATTCTTTAATTTAAGGATTTCTAAAATATTATTATTTTATTGCTCCAATTTAATATCTTTTTCTAATAACCAAGTAAGAAGTAGCTTTTGGGTGTTTTTATTAACTTCGTATATTGCAATTTAATTGCAGTTTTTAAATTTTATATATATATATATATATATATTTTACACATACACATACGAAATGTTGGCATAAAATTTAAATCGAAATACACCTAACTTTCTTTTTACGCGGTAGGTACGTTCCGCGTAAGAAGAAATCGTGTTATTTGAAGAAATGACGTAAAAAAATAAAACCCTTTTCGATTGAAAGTGCATGTGCCATGTGTATGATTTCTGATCTTATAAAAGAGAGAAATATGCGCACACTATTTTGTATTAAAAGCTACTTACATCAGAGTTCAAAGAGAATAACAGTGAGCGAATAATGTATTAATGATATTCGAATCATGATTGACAATATTATTTATCAATTTACAAAGAGTGTCAGTCTCATTCCTATCAAATAATCTAATATGTCTTGTTTAGTAAGATCACGTTAATTCGACGTTATCGATTGACATATGCTTCCTCTATAGGTATCTGTGTGTTGAATCGAGCTGCTGCAATATTAGTCCGTATAGGATGTTACTCGCTCTTTTAACATGATAAAATAGGGGGACACGTGTCCGATTAATAAATTTTCATTAATTCATTATTAGGAATTAAAATTAAGGTCTGTATATATGTATACACGAAAGATTATACATACATTTTTCAAAAAAACCGTGTTATTTAGAAAAACCGCGTAAAAAGAATTGGGTAAAAAAAAAAACATACAAAAAACTGCGTAAAAAGAGAGTGTGTATGATTTTTTGTGAATATTTAGCCTTACAGTGGGCGTATATGGCAATGCAATAATAGAGCTATTCAAGGCATGAAACATCGTTTTTTATATCAATAAAAAAAATTCTTTTTATGTATATTTCTCAATGGATTTGCTGCTGACATATATTGTTTACTATAAAAATAAACAAAACACATGCACTCGTTTTATAGATAATGTTATATAAAATGTTATCGGGCGGTTTGAATCACAAGGCAGGTAGATTGTACAATAAAATACGATTGTGTGTATTTGCAATCACATTTTTGCTTTTAGCAAAATTGTTCTCGCCTGTAGTCCAGGCAACGTAAACATCATTTCGCACAAAAGCATCTTCTCTTTAAACCTGGAGAGTGTTTAAATTATAATGCAAACCATGCTAAGACGTGTCTTGGAAAATAAGTGTTAAAAAATTGAATTCTAAATGTCATTTTATACGTTTCATTACCGTATTCTATTCAAAATATTCACAAACAATTTTTCTCATTTACGAGCATCGCGTTCGCGTAACGAATTCATATTACAAAACTTCGCCGTTTCTTTTTTTCTCACGCGCGTCAGAACGCGCGCGGAGAAAGAGCGCGCGACAACTTTAGTTGCGACACTTTTCAAAGAAGCGTGATGGAAAATCCCGATAAACTTTAAAACTGCTTCTTATTTTTGCATGCTCCCCTTGTAGCGCACGACCGCACACGGGAGCGACGATTGTTTCTCCCTTTTCTTCTTATAGTTTTCGCTCTTACAATTAGAACCGTTAACACACGCACGGCATTCTTCGCGCGTGTGGTATAGGCTGACAATGAGAATATTGGAGTATACCGTTCTTAATTAGCGAACAAAAGCGCTCGCATAAAGCGCAGAATATTTCGCGATGCAATTCAAATTGTTATGCAATTCGTCATCATTATGCAATGCGCTTGTCTGCATCTTCCAGTTATCGCAAGAAAGAAAACCAGAAGAGAAAAAAAAGGAGAGAGCGAAGAAACACGACAATGACCGTAAACATCGCGAGTAATGAATATTCTAAAGCCACTTATAAAATGAAGATTACGCGTTGTGAGATTGTGTGCGGGGACTGCTTTATAATACATATGTAATTCCTTGTTTTACACAAAATGTTTATTTAACGCAATTTGGAAGAAAGCTCTTTGGATTGAATTAAATTGCAGGTAATTATACATGCAATTTCCTTCTTGCCTGTTAATTTACAACGAGATATTGCTCGGAGCTCGGATAGCGACGCGCGCGCTGTCGCTCTCAGGAAGGAGAGAGTTGGTTTTGTGCACAAAACGCCAGCAGTGAATCTCATCAGGAACGATCGCTCCCGCATGCATGTGTGATCAAAGTAACTCCTACAATAACTTACTTTATTTTTTAATTAAGAGACATACAATCAAAAAGAATACTTTAGCCTTTATTATCCTTCCATTTATATCGAACGCGTATATGGGTCTTGTTTTTATTTTTCGTTCTCTCAATATTCTTAAATTAGATTGTTCTACTTTGCTTTTACATTTCCGCAAATGTTTGTTGTTGCAAAAACGTGTGTGTATGAGTGTATACGAGTGTGTAAATGTATGTGAACGTTCGCAGTATATTGAGCTCGGGTCCGTGAGCTTTCTAAGCTCAAATGACTGCGTGCAGATCAGTCATTCCTGCGGAAGATAATTACGCGGCATCATCTTATCGGCATCTGTATAGATCGTGTTCCTTATCAACGATAAGATAAAGTTAGATGTCGGGAAAATGTCATAGAGCTTGCGCTCTCACGGCGCGACTGGTTGACAGTTATTGCTCGCTTTTCAGTCGCAAATCGAGAACCTAATCTATATCCGTGCCGTGGCCGCGCATATACAGGGGCATCGTGAAGGGGAAGAGAAAGAGAAACAGAGATGAAACGTACTCTCTCCGTCCTTTGTGCCTATTACTTTGCGTCTGACAAAACTATCGCTGTTATTGGCACTCTTGTTAGATAAAAGCTCCATTCACAATTTAGCCTCCAAGTAGTCATTTAATCTATGAAGCAAAATAAAGAAAGGATAAGAGCAAATAAAATTAATGATAAAAATAGAGATATGTATTTCCATCGGAAATAGAAACAAAATCACTAAAAAATTAGGAAAAAACCAAGCATGATATCGTATTATTTTAAATATAAGTCTCAATATTTTTCTTAAAAATTCCAGATATTTTGGATAAAAATATTAACTTTTTTTTATTGTGTTAATCGCGCAGAAAAAGAGAAAGAATTATAATCGTGCTTTCTATGATCACATGGTGGTCTATGGTGGTCTTTACACACGAGATTTTCCTCGTGTTGGTACCTCCGTTATTTGTCTCTCTTTCGCAGTCGCGTATAGGACGCATCCTGAAGCCGGTGTATTGCGCGCATTGAAAGCATGACGACGACGACGACGACGACGACGACGGCGGCGCGCGGCGTCGGTGGCGGTGGCGACGGAGGTTCCCTTCTCTCGCGATTGCAGAAACCACGCCGGAGGAACTCGCTTATTTTTACTAGGAATGCGCCTCGGGCTGCCTCGGGGAAAGAAAAAAAACTTGGCGGAGAGAAAAAGAAAGGGAGAGAGAGGGGGGTCGCTGACACGATGCTGGAAACAGGCGTCTGATAAAATTAAGCCGCCACAGAGCATGCGAGCAGCAAATTTTTTTTCCAATCTCTTTTCCTTTTTTCTTTTCTCGAAGAGCTGCCTATTTTCCACGCGAGATAATTGACGTAACGAGAACGACGATTGCATCCGTACGTCCATAAAAAATATTAAAATTTCTAATTGAAATTTTTCGCGCAACGCTATAGAACTATATTTACGCTGAAACGTTCAACATCTATATGCTCGATATACTTTGCATGGTTTTTCATCTGATCTCAGCTGGCATTTCTATTTCCGTCATTTAGTGCCAGCCCGTTCTTATCTTCTTTCTGTATCTCCACTTTATTTATAGATTCATTGATGAACGGGATAGCTGAATTTTCCCGAATAAAAATTTTTTCTTGACACGTCAATAGTGTCCTTCGTGTACGAAGTATAATAATAACTGTAAGTTACTGAAACTCTATACACAGGGGATGAGTTTTTAAGCGCAAGAAGACTAGTTTTTCTTTTAATTTTTAAGCTAATTTTACTTTAACGAGAATCTTATTCCTTAGTTAATTGTTTTACCTTGTGTTTTACTTTTGTAGACGCCTTGTCGGTTATTTAATTTCATTTCTCTTACTAGAAATTGCAATTTGAGGTTTGCGATTAGTTAGATTATAGATATATTTAAGTGCGAGAAAATGAAAACATTTAAATGCCAAAGAGATTCTAAATTGATCAAAGAACTTACGGCTATTCGATAGAGGGAACATCCCGTGCAGCGTTGTCTCGGTGGTCATCCAATTTACGCCTATCCGGTTTCTCTCGCGAACGTGTACGAATTTAACTGCATTTACTGTCGGTATAAGCTGCATTGTATGCAGCTGCGTTGTCGGTTAAGCTTATTTGAGCGCATCTGCACCATGTTACGGAACAATACCTGTTTCGCCGCACTTCGTGCATTCTTCAAAGACTACCGAACATTAGCTAACATTGCTTTCTCATTAACGTCCGTGGCATATTACGTCTACCCATCGATTGCGCATCTTTTCTACAAATATAGAATTAATAAATTCCGAGTCGATCTCCAAACTGACAGATCCTTTTCCAAGTCACGATACGTTAGGCGCGAAAGTTACGCAAAGTGACTATAACATATATAGTGATACTCCACATTGACGTGACAGAGAGTCAGTTCACTCGAACGTAATATCATAAAGAACGTAGCGACTTTTCTGCTCCCTTATATG